TATTAGAGGTCTATGAGGAAGTAAAAAGCAATGTAGATAAAACACTGGACTTAACATTCAAGAGGAATTTAGCAAGGCCACATCAAAGATTCCTCCATAAAATTTGAGCTCATAGTGTAGGGGTAACATTTGTTTTAATATTCATACATGGGATGTAGATGTCACCAGCAAGGTCAGCATTTATTGTCCATTCCGAATTGTCCAAGTGTGGTTAAGAGTCAACTAAATTGCTGTGGGTCTGGAGTCACACATAGACCAGGCGAGTTAAGGACAACAGCTCTTTCCCCTCCTCAAGGATATCAGCTGGGTTTTTTCAGCAATCAACCACCATTTCGTGGACACCACCAGACTCTTAATTCCAGATTTTTATTGAATTTGAATTCAGGGTTTGAATGGCAGGGTGTGAACCCAGGTCCCCAGAACATTAGCTGGGCTTCTGGCAATAATTACCACCTGCAATAATTACCACCTGCAATAATTACCACTAGCAATAATTACCACAAGCAATAATATCACTTGGCCATCACCTTTCTCTATTAACATATTCGGAGGATGCATTGACTAACAGGAAGCAGAGGGTACCCAAAAATGGGTCATTTTTTGGATTGGTACGTGATGTGCCAGATAGATCAGTGTTGGGACCTCAATTATTTGTAATTTACATCAATTACTTGGATGAAGGGACAGAACTTGTGGTAGCTAAATGAGCTGACTGATCAAAGACAGGTAGGAAAGTAAGTTGTGAAGAGGACAAAAAGGCAAATAAATTAATTTAGTGAGTGGACATTGGGGAGGCGATGGCCTAGTGGTATTGTTGCTGAACTGTTAACACTGAGACCCAGGTAATGTTCTGGGGACCTGGGCTTGAATCCATTGTCGATTATCAGAAAACCTCATCTGGTTCACTAATGTCCTTTAGGTAAGGAGCCATCCTTACCTGGTCTGGGCTACATGTGACTCCTGACCCCAGCAATGTGGTTGACTTTTAACTGCCCTCTGGGCAATTAGGGATGGGTAATAAATGCTTCCCTCATCTGTGAATGAATAAAGAAAAAATATAATTTGGCAGATGGAATATAATATGAGAAAATGTGAACAGTCCACCTTAGAATGGAATATTAGAAAAGCAGCATATCATTTAAATGGAGAGAGATTCCAGAATTCTGAGGTACAGAGGGATCTGGGCATGCTGGTACATGAATTTTCTTTTATTCATTAGCAGGATGAGGGTATTGCTGGCCAGGCAGCATTTATTGCCCATCCTTAATTGCCCAGAGGGCAGTTAACAGTCAAACACATTACTGTGGATCTGGAGTCACATGTAGGCCAGACCAGGTAAGGATGGCAGTTTCCTTCCCTAAAGGGCATTAGTGAACCAGATGGGTTTTTCCCCAACAATCAGTTCATGGTCATCATTAGATTCTTAATTCCAGATATTTTTATTGAATTCAAATACCACCATCTACCATGGTAGGATTTGAATCCAGGTCCCCAGAACATTGTTTGGGACTCTGAATTAACAGTCCAGTGATGATACCACTTGGCCATTGAATCTTCAAGCTGGAGGTGTAGCAAATGATTAGAAAGGCAGATGGAATATTGTTGTTTATTGCAAGTGGAATGGAATATAAAAGTAAGGATGTTTTGCTATATTCTCCTCATTTAAGAAAGAATGTAAAGGCTTTAGAGACAGTCCAGGAAAAGGTTCACTTGGCTAATACTTGAGATTTTGGGAATGAGGGATGTTTATCTTATGAGGAGCAGCTGCACTCACAGTGTGGCTGTTGTTAGGAGTCATAGTCGTAGAGTCATACAGCTCGGAAACAGACGCTTCGGTCCAACCAGTCCATGCCAACCCTAGTCCCAAACTAAACAAGTCCCACCTGCCTGTGCTGGCCCATATCCCTCTAAAGATTTTTTATTCATATACCTATCTAAATATCTTTTAAATGTTATAACCGTACCTACATCCACCACTTCCTCTGCAAGTTCATTCCACACACCAACCACTCTGTGCAGAAAAAATTACCTCGTCTTTTTTTAAATCTTTCTCCTCTCACCTTAAAAATATGCCCCCTCATCTTACTTTCTTACCACTCACTCATTTTCCACATCATCCCAGTCTCCTTGCCTTTATTTTTTATTTAACAAGACCTTAAAAGCTCACAGTATTAAAACAGAAATTGCTCAAAAACTCAGCAGGTCTGCCAGGCTCATAAACCACTCTCACAGGCAATGTCTTGCCTTTACTATATCTCATCTTTATTCAAACTGATCTTATATCCTGATCTCCAGTATCATAGTAATATCTGTCTATTGTACAGATGCCATCCTTCATAAACAGGGTAACCCTGTTACCATTTTCAACCTTCCTGCTCTTCCCAAATGTCTTTTACACTTGAATATTGAGGTCCCAGTTTTGTAGTCATCTCTCTGTAGTGTCTATCAGATCATACATATTTGTTTTTATTTGCACAGTTGATTCATCTGTTTTGTTCCAAATTCCATGTGCATTCAAATACAAACCTTTACTTCTGTCTTTTTATTGTATTTGTAACCTCGAGTTCTATCTACTGTTACACATATAGATATATACACTCTGTCACTTTTTATCTCATAATGATCACCATTTCCATTATGGTTGCTTGATTTCTTGCCGTCTAATATCGACTGAATTTATCTAATCTTCCCTAACTTGATCTCTTTCCTTTACACCCCCAGGTTCACTCCCACACTATTTATGTTTAAAGATCTTTCTATCACTCCAGTTATATGACACACTAGCGTTCAGGTGAGGACTGCCCCAATAGAACCACTCCCACTTTCCCCAGTACAGGGTATCAGTGCTCCCACATCATTATACTCTCAACAGAAGCTCTTTTCTAACTCTTATCGATGTCACTAGATTCTCCTCTTCCTACGAGTTCATTTCCAGCCCAATTCTTCGTACCCTGGCACCTGGCAGACAACATAGCCATCAACACTATTGTTCTTGCCTGTAGGGAGCCATGCTAATTCCCCTGAATGGCCCTTACTATCACAGCATTCTTCATCCTACTTGAATGGCTTCCTGTATAAGAGCACCACAGTCAGTTTGCTTATCCACTCTGCAACTACTGCTTTCAGCCATAGAGACCACAGAAATCTTTTGGACCATTTGGACAATTGCAAAGGCTGAATTCTTGCATTTCTACATTCTTGATTCCTGTACCAGCCTCTTGCAGTCACACCCTCCTTTCCCCTGACCGTTGTCCAAATCAGACCCATTATCATAGAATTCCAACTGTATGGAAGCAGGCCATTCAGCCCAACACTGCCCCTCTGAAGAGCATCACACCCAAACTAACCCACTTACCTAACTCTGCATTTCCCATGGCTAATCCAACTAGCCTGCATATCTCTGGACACTATGGGCCAATTAAGCATGGCCAATCCATCTAACCTGTACACCTTTGGACCATGGGAGGAAAAACAGAGCACCCAGAGGGAACCCACACAGACACAAGGAGAATGTGCAAACTCCACATAGACAGTCACCCAAGGCTGGAATCTAACCTGGGTCTCTAGCACTATAAGGCAGCAATGCTAACCACGGAGCCACTGTGCCACCTATTATAATGGTTGTGACTCCCTCCTGGAATAAAGTCTCCAGGTAATTTGTCCCCTTCCTAATGATCAGTGTCTGCATCTTGGCCTCCCGCTCACAAACTCTGAACAAAAGGTCCTCAAGCTGCAGGCAAGTTTTGAACTGGATCACGATGTCCAGAAGACCCACACCACATCCTGCAGTCATAACACATCACCTTCCCTAATATGTGATCATTATTTTGGTGAGTAAACCTCAGTAATAGTAATAATACCTCACAATTACTAATACCTTCCGGCCTTTGAAAGATGTGAGCAAAATAGCAACATACTCACCAATCACTTACCTATTTCCCTGTGTTATTTATCTGAATGTGGTTGACAGGTTTCACAAAGCTCAACTCCCACTTGCTTTCAGTTCCATTTTGTGCAGTTTCTCAACTCCTGCTCTTCTGGAGGCTGACAAGGTGAGAAAAAAAAAGGACCTCCTCCATCTTTTCCTCCTCGCTGAATCCCTCAACTCACCAAACTCCTAGATGCACACTTGGTCAACACAAGCTATATGCCATGATGAGCTGAACTATCTCTGAAGTAGCTCTAACAAGCCACTTCATTCAAGGGCAATGAGGGATGGGCAGCAAATGTTGGCCTTGCAAATGACACCCATATCACATGAAATAATATTTTTTTTAAAAGGCTAAATTCGCTTATGAATACCTTCAGGCTCAGTTAGAGACATCCAGTCATAGATTCATAGAAACAGGCCCTTCAGCCCAACTTGCCCATGCCGCCTAGTCTTCACAATGTAAACTAGTCCCATTTGCCTGCATTTGGTCCATACCCTTCCATACCTATCCCATCCATGTACCTGTCTAAATGTTTCTTAAATGACGAAATTGTATTCACTGGCAGCCCGTTCCAGACACGCACCACCCTCTGTGTGAAAAAATTTCCCATCTGGACTGTTTGGTATCTCTGCCTCCCACCTTAAACCTATGCCGTCTACTTTTAGACTCCCATACCATGGGGAAAAGCTGTTGGCTATCTACCTTATCTATGCCTCTCATGATGTTTATAGACCTCTGTAAGGTCAATCCTCAGTCTCCCACAGCTCCAGGGAAAAAAAATCCCAACCTATTCGGCCTCTCCTTGCAACTCAAACTTTCCAGTGCACATAGCATCCTGGTTCACAGAGAAAGAATTGCTGCTCCAGCGATATATTGACTATTGCCTCTTATGTTTGATTTAGCTGCTTGTACTTGTTGTTGTAGACACTAGAGTATGGTGACTTAAACATTTTTCACTGTATATTTTGTAAAAGAACAACTGACAATAAATTACTATTCTATTCCATTGTCCAGATGCACACAATTGAAAGGTAAAATGTTAACAATTTGTTGTTGCTTCTGTTTTAGACATCCATCAAGAGACATTCAGTCCAAGTGACCTTTGTCCACTTGGGATTTACCGTACTCTGAGCTCTATTTGATGCAAGGTTAAACCTGATTGAACGAAAACTATGGGCAATAACGTTTCAGTAAGTTCAAAAGAAAAAGCTGCAAGAAAGCTGTATGTGAAGATGCAGAATCAAAGAGCATATGAACAAGACACAAAAAACATGAAGTACACAAAGATATTTTTAGAAAAAGCGACACTGAAAGGTTTGGAAAGCATTCTTAAGTCAATATCAAAATATAAAATGGTCTCTGCAGCTTTTTGTATGACTGGACTAGGAGCAACACTTTTTGTTGGTTGTATTATTGCAGACCAATTTCTAAACAGTTCTGAAAATGCCACGAGTGGCAAAATCACTGAGATAGCAATCCGCAAAGTACTCCACGAGGAACAGATACAGGAAATCAGTAATATCGTTATTGCTTATCAGAATCACTACAAAATGTTTGCAAACAACAAAAAGAAACTTTGTGAAGAAGCTACAATCTGTGAAAGGGATCTGTTCAACCAGCTCAATCGAACCAGCCAAAATATGCTTAAGAATCGCCAAAGTGCAACTGTGTCAAATTTCCTAGCCTGGTTGAAAGGTGCCAGAATTCACCTGGAAGTGCTTTCTGACATGATTACCTTGCGGGTTGGTGACCCATGTGCAGTTTACCAGGCAGCGCAAATCCACTGTAGTACCATGAGTCAACTGGTACATGCAGTCAAGGAACAAAAGGCATCAGTCATTACCTTGTTTCAGTTTCCTCTAGGCATCAAGCTCACAGACAAGGAAGCAGGTCAATTTGTTTGCATATATTACCCTCACTTCAGTTTTGAAGGTACCAAGGATATCAAGGATAAATACCTGATGCTGCTTTTTGATGACCAACTTAGAACGGTAGAGGAACAGTTTAAATGTCTTACCATTGATTTTCAAGAGAATTCCTGGGTAAGAATTACAAAGGACGTCAGGAAGAGTACCTGGTCTGAGTGGTGTGACAGTGCTGTACCTTTAAGAAAGACTTTTTCTGCATCCTTTTTCTTTCATCAGGTGGCACAGTGGCTCAGCGGTTAGCACTGCTGACTCATAGTGCCAGGGACATGTGTTTGATTCCAGCCCCAGGCGACTGTCTGTGTGGAGTTTGCACATTCTCCCTGTGTCTGCGTGGGTTTCCTCTGGGTGCCCTGGTTTCCTCCCACAGTCCAAAGATGTGCAGATTAGGGTGGATTGGCCATACTAAATTACCCATAGTGTCCATGGATGAGCAGGCTTTGTGGATTAGCCATTGGAAATGCAGAGTCACAGGGATAGGGTAGTAGTGGTGGTGAGTCTTGGTGGGATGCTTTTTGGGAGATTGGTGTGGACTTGATGGGCTGAATGGCTTGCTTCCACACTGTAGGGTTTCCATGAAGCAGTGGGTAAAACATTTGAGACCCCTAAGTACTTTTCTAAAATTAAGGAAAAGAAGCATGCGTTGGTGGAGTCAGGCACACACAGACCAGGGTTTTAGTTTTGCTTTCATTTGGGATTTGGGGCTGTTGAAGCCGATGGATACAGCCCTTTGCTGCAGCAGTGAAAAGCTTGAGTTCTCTCTCCTCTGCTAGATTGTTTCTTTCAACGTTCCTTTCTCCTGGACAGCAGATAACATGTGGGGAAAATCTGTTTTGTTGAATTTGCCTTTGCCTGGAGTGTGTTTCGGGATGCAGCTATCTTGGAGTAGTTGATGGCTAGTAGTTAAAAAATATAATATTGTATTAACTATTCAATAGTACTAAAATTATGACAACTCTTTTTTTTGTTGTTTGCATCTTAACTGGGGCAAGAATAAAATGTGTTTTTGCTTATAGCCTAGTAATGGACCAATTGAACCATAAGTGAAATGCAGTGCCCTACACTTGCCTTTAAATAAAATAAAAAGTTAAGGTCTAGGCTATCACCTTAATATATCTTGAGGGTGTTTGTTCTGGTCCATAAGTTTGAAAACAGCAGTCCAGTTCATCATCTCAATCTTCCAAAGTTTTTAAGACTGTCTGCAATTTCCAAAGGGCCACTGAGGGGAAAGGAAACTTGTTTGTCACCAACTAAATTTCCCAGAAGGAGATTACTAGGGATTCAGACAGCACATTTCGAGAGAAACTGTTCACATTTTGAGTCCAGTGTGACTCAGTAGATAATAGATGCAGGCATGTTAGGCTGAATCGCTTCCTTTTGCATCATAATAATTTCATGATTCTTCTTCAGAATTCTGAATTAATTTCATATTTCCATAGCAGTTTGCTTCTTTTTAATTTACTCACGGGATGTGAGTATTGAGTTTATTGCCCATTTATTGCCCATCCCTGGATGCCCTTGAGGAGGGGGCCTATCTGGTTCACAATTAAATTTTGAAACTTTAACTATTTTACAGCGAAAGTCAAGCTGGATTGTCATTCACATTTCCCTACAACAACCGTGCATCGATGTAAATGTGGGATGTGGGCCCCATATGTTTTCATTGCTGTCCATTCATGATGTGCTGTTTTATAACACTCCAGATTCTTTAACGTACAGCTGAGTATCCATCCATAGCCGCCATTAACGTTGGGGTACCCATGACTGAGCAGCATAAAATGGCCGACGGCTGCCCTTGGCAGCCCATGCCCTGCATGGCTGACTGTAGTCTCAGGAAGTCTGGGAAAATATTTGCCTAAATATTATAATATTTGTAGCCTGCACAAGCTAGAACAATAGCAGCTCTGTAGACCCAAGGTAACAGACTGAGATAGAATATGCAGCTGCACTTGTTAACGCATAAGAAATAGATAAGAATTTTTCACACTGCATTTAATTAAATTTCTCTTTAATTATTTAACCAATCTGTTACAATACTGATAGTAGGGTTTAGTTAAGATCCTTCAAATAATCATAGGTATAGACTCTGAAGTCATTGTAGATTCACCCATATACAAAAAAAGTCACTAAAAGCATTTGTGGAAAAGATTCAAATAAAATTGAGAGCAAACCAGTCTCAGACAGTAAAAGCAACCCCCATATCGTTACAGGGAGAATTGGATTAGAGGTCAGGCATTGGAATGTGGATTGAATGAACACATTGTGAGACCTTCGAGGATAAAGATAAGGGTGTCTAGTCAAAATGGAGAGAGAGAAACTGCTCACAACTTGGTAGCTAAAGAGTTCCAAACAAAGACAGAAATTGCTGGAAAAGCTCGGCAGGTCTGGCAGCATCTCTGGAGAGAAAAAGTTAACGTTTCAGGTCAGTTCTGAGAAAGGGTCACTGGACTTGAAATGTAAAATCTGATTTCTCTCCACAGATGCTGCCAGACCTGCTGAGCTTTTCCAGGAATGTCTGTTTTGTTTCTGATTTACAGCATCGGCAGTTCTTTCTGTTTTTGTTCAAAGAATTCTTACATTAGTTGTAACCAAAAATTTCAACTGACATTACAAATTTTATAACAATTCGTAAAAATGAATATCCTTTTTCTGTACTGTAAGAGTTTAGTAAACTGTGTAACAGAACTTAAAAAGTGATCAGCAAGTATCTAATTTATTGACAGTTAACATGGTGCAGCTGGCTGGGAAGGAATGTACTTGAATACAGTGTCCACTGGGGAAAGCCCCAAGAAGGGAAATAAAAGAGCCTGGGAAACATCAGGAGACCATGGAGGACCAGGGGTTGACCACAAACCTGTCCATCTTAGTCATGCAGTCATATGATTAGCTTAATTGGAAGTGTAGGTGATTAATTAATAGGATGATAAGTGTGTAATTGCTAAAGGTGGGACGAATCAAATGTATAAAAATGGATGTCTTTCCTTTGTTCAGGAAGAGGTCTCTGGATTTTCAGGGGATTTCTTCCTACCGGTGTAATTTCAATAAACTCTTTGCTAGAAATGAACTCCTGGGTGTCAATTGGTCATTCCACCCCCAACACCGCACAAGTTAGATTACATCACTACAAAACAGCAGAGTGGTGACTTCACAGAATGCAACTGACATGGTGGTCCAGTGATCAGCACTGCTACCTCACCATACTGGGGAGCCAGGTTCAATTCCAGCCTTGGGCATCTACCTGTGTGAAGATTGCATGTTTTCTCCTGAATGTCTGGGTGCTCCAGTTTCCTCCCACAATCCAAAGATATGTAAGTTAGGTGGATTGGACATGATAGAGTGTCCATGGATGTGTAGGTTAGGTAGATTAGCCAGGGTTACAGGAACAAAGTGAGGGGATGCTCTTCAGAGAGTTGTTGGGCCCAAATGGCCTATTTCTGCACTGTAGAGATTCTACTCTTTTTGTAAAAAAAATAGTGCCAGCAATTTGTTTCACTCAAAGCAGAATATAAATTGAGATTTTAAAACTATTCAAGAAATTAAAATTTTGCTTAGTTCCCTTCCCTGCTCTGAAATTACCCAGCATTTTCCATGATTCAACATCTCAGCTGGTTGACAATTTCAGCCACTGATTTGTTCTTTTCTCTTATTTCACTGTCAGTGGGTCAAAATTCTGGAATTCCCTCCCTAAGGATATTGTGGGTTTACCTACGGCACATGGACTGCAACGGTTCAAGAAGGCAGCCCATCACCATCTTCTCAAAGTGCAACTAGGGACGGGCAATAAATGCTGGGCCAGCCAGCATCACCCATGGCCCACAACTGAATGAATTAATAAGATCTGGCAGCATCTGTGGAGAGAAAGCAAAGTTAACATGTGGAGTCCAGTGACTCTCCTCAAGGGCATTATCATTTGTTGTTTCAGATTTGCAGCACCCACAGTCTTTATTTTAGTTTAAAGTCTGTCTTTAATTTGCCAAGTACAACTTTTCCTTTAAATAAGCTTATCTTAAAATGTATTAGAGTCATAGAGCCATACAGAACGGAAACTGACCCTTCAGTCCAACCAGTCCATGTCGAACATAATCCCAAACTAAGCTAGTCCCACCTGCCTGCTCCTGGCCCACATCCCTCCAAACCTTTCCTATTCCTGTACTTATCCAAATATCTTTTAAACATTATAATTGTACTTACATTCACCAGTTCCTCAGGAATTTTATTCCACACGTGAACCACCCACTGTGTAAAAATTTGCCCCTTGTGTCTTTTTTAAATCTCTCTCCTGTTACTGTAAATATGTGCCCCCTAGTCTTGAAATCTCCATCCTAGGGAAAAAAACAAGTGCCATTAGCCCTATATATATGCCTCATTATTTTATAAAGCTCTATAAGGTCCCCTCTCAACCTTCTACCCTCCAGTGTAAAAAGTCCCAGCCTATTCAGCCTTTCTTTATAATCAAACCTTCCATACCTGGCAACATCCTGGTAAATCTCTTCTGATCCCTCTCCAGCTTAATAATAGCCTTCCTATAAAAGGGTGACCAGAACTGGACTAAGTATGCCAGAAGAGGCCTCACCAACATCAACATGATTTCCCAACTCCTATACTCAAAGGACTGAGCAATGAAAGCAAGCCTGCTAAACCTTTTTAACCACCCTGTCTATATGTGACATAAACTTCAAAGAACTATGTACCTGAGTTCTGCTTTCACCTCAATTAGTTAAGGGGGTGAATTTTCTTGTCCCTAGTGTGGCACAGACAGTTTTGAGGAAGTTGAGAAAGTACAGTGACTGCGAAAAAAAACAGAATTTCAACATCAAGAAAAAGATTCCCAATTTTTCCCCCTAAGCTTAAAAACTGACTTCAGAATCTCAACAATGAGTGACATCTCCCTCACTTCTTTTCAAATTTTACCCAAATCACCTCCTTATGCAACAGTTCCAATTCTCCTCTCCTTCGCCAGGAGACTAGACTGTGCAAATTGCCAACAGAAAGACAGAAAGGGTACAAATAGACAGCAGCCTTCACCACTTGCTTGCCCCAACCATTCTCCAACACAATGTCCCTGC